TATAATATATAATATATTAAAAAATATATAAAGAAAGAAATAAATATATTTTTTTTTTTTATATATATAAAAATTAATAAATATATATATATATATATATATATATATATATATATATATATATATATATATTTATATATATATATATTAGTTTTCAATTTTATTCTATATATAATTAAAGAATTTAGTTATTAACTAAAACATTAAAATCACATATTTAGATATTTAGTTATATTTAATTTTATTAAATCAATGAAAAAGTCCCATATTTAGAATTATTGTCCTATAAAAAGAATTTATTATTTATTAATTTAATAAATGCATGCTATCTAGAAATTGTGTTATTTTTTATTTGAAAATCAGATTCTTCGTTTCTTCCCTTTTTATATTTTTTTATTTATATTACTAAATATAGTTTTACTATTTTAATAGAGTTTTTATTCTTAAAAAATAAAATAATATATTCTTTATTTTAATTCTATTTTCTTTCATAAATCTTTTCAATTAAAATATAAGGAAAGTTATATTATTAAATTAGAAATATATAATTTTAATATTAATTATGTACTTTTTTTATTTTTTTCAAGAAATTTATTTATTTAATTATATATAATTTTTGTTTTTTACATTAAAATTTTTATTTACAAATATCACATTTTAAATCTTCAATATTAAATATATATTGATCATAATTTTAATAATTTTTAATTTATATTTTATCTTTTATGCATTATTTCAAACAATTTAAATGAATATTTTTAACACTTCCTGTACAATTACAAGGTTATATAAATTAATTTTAATTATTTATTGTATACTATAGACAAATACGACATTATTATTCAGTTTGTGAAATTTCTTCTATTATATTACTATTATTTAACTATATATATATATATATATATATATATTATATATATATATATATATATTTTTTAAAGCATTTATTAATTTTTTTACTTCAATACAATTGTTTATTTATACAAATTAATATATAATTTTTCCAAATTTGATAAAATCATTTAATTATAATTCATATAATGCCTTAAATAAAAATTATATGTATTTTTATTTATATATACATTTTTATATGTATTTATAATTAGCCATAAAGTATTATTTTCTTGATAAGTTTAATTTTTTATTTATATATAACCTTCATTCAATTAAAATTCTAAATATTTTGTTATTAAAAATAATACATATTATTTAATAAATACCTATTATTTATTAATTTTTATAATCATTATTTTATATATATTGAAAATCTTTTTAATTTGTAAAATATAAGAAACCTATATTTTCTTTTTAAATAAATCAATATAATATTTTATTGTTTACCTGACTCTTTTATGTTTATTTATTTTTTAATTATATTTTACGTTTAAGTAAAATCAAATATATCAGTATTTTAATTGTTCATTTTAAGAATTTTCAAACTTTTTTTAGAGTAAAACAATTAATATTTATTTAATTTTTTTAAAAAAAAGGAAAATTTACAAAATAAGGTTTTTTTTATTCATTTAAAGTTATTTTTCAATATTTCCCATATTTATTTATTTTTTTTTAAACAAAAAAAAAGACTATTTTTTTTTTTATTTGATAAAAAGATTACTTTTTTTATTTTAATTTTTTTTTTAAAAAAAAGAAATATTTAAAAATAAATTCTTAATTAATTTTTTTTTTTTAATAAAAATAAATAGACACAAAAAAAGATTTATAATAATAACAAAAAAAAAAAAAGGGAAGAATAAATGCCTTAATAAATTCAAACAACTTTACATAAGTAAGGTTATGGACCTGATTTATAAAAATATAATGGAAAAAGACTATTAGTATATTTAAATGGCAAAAGAAGAGTATAAGGTGTTGTTAAAGGACATGATAATTATATGAATATAGTATTAGAAAATGCATAAGAATTAATTGGAAAAGATAAAGTCAATAATATTGGAAAAGCAGTAGTTAGAGGAAATTCAATAATAAGATGGGATTGTTTAGATCTTGTTTGATATTTATATATATATATATATATATATATTGGAAAAATAAATAAAAATAAAACAAACAATTATTTAAGTTTTTTGTAATTTATATATAAAAAATTTAAAATTTATGTTATGAATTAATATAAGTTATATACATAATACATGTATTTTTTCTTATTATTATAGATAGATATAAATTATATGTATCTAATAATACTTCCAAAGTGAATAGATCAAATAAATATATACTAATTCATATAAAGAGAAAGACTTTATTCATAATAATGAATTAAAATTAAAATTTTTAATATTTCGTTTAGGATAGTATCTGAGATTTTATTATAATTAAGTAATGGAATTATTTATATATTTAAAAAAATGAAATTTAGTTTTATTAATAAAAAATATGTAAATAAATATTTTATATAAAATAATATTAATTATATAATTATGAATATAAAATTAATTTGTAAAAATTAAATATAAAATAATGATATTAATATAATAAAAAAAATTATAAAAAGATATTAAATTTATATAAGTATAATAATCAAAAAAAAATAATTAATATATAATTATAATTTACATATATATTAATTAATTACATTTAATTAAAATTTCATTTTAATACAATAAATATTGTCTTTAAATATTATATGAATAATTTATTATATAATATATACTCATCGAACTTTTATTTTCAATAAGTTAACTTATTTATTATCTAAATGTATTATTAAAGAATATTCCATAATTTTTTTTCTTTAAATATTATTAACAATTCTAGAATTTTAAAAAAGAAGTACAATAGTTTATTTATTAAATAATTTCTCCTTTCTTTTTTTTTTTATGTTCAAGCATAAATATATATATTAACATGCATGATTTTTTATATATATATTGGAAAAAAAAAAAAAACTATAATAAATAATACATTATATAAAAATATATAAGATAACTTTTTATATATTATAAATTAATTACATGAAAATTCGTATTTTTTTAATTTATATATAAAATATTGAAGTATTATAAAAAAGTATTATTTATAATAATATGCATATAAATTATTAAATTAATAATTAATATTTATTAATATATAGTTATTTAATATATAATTGATAAATATATAGCTCATATAAACTCATTCTAAGATAATTATTTGATGAAAATTAAGGAAATTACAGAATTCAATACATGTTTTTTATATTTTTTATCCTATTAACAAAAAAAATAGGGAAAAAAACATAATTTTATATGATTTTTTAATTTATTATTTTTGGATATTATATTTATATATAATGAATTATAAATGGAAAACAAAATTAATATATAATATAGGCTTTTATATACAATACGTTTATAATACAATAAATAGGAATGAGTTATTATAAATTAAATATTAAAATAATATTAATACTTTAAATTTTGTATAGAATTAAATTCTATTCAAACTATATTTACAAAATAATATAAATTTTTACTTTTTTATTTATACCTTTATATACAAACAAATTAAATTATATAAATATAAAATTATTTATTATTATTATTTAATTTTTTTAATTTTTTTTAATTATATTTTCATTTATTAACATATAAATTTAATCGAATTCAAATTTAGAATAGATTTAAATCATATTTTTACAAAAAGCAAAGCATATCATCTAATTATATAACCTAATACATTATCTTAAAAAAATATAAAAACATTTTTATTTATACTAATTTAACAATATTTGTATATATTTATAGATTTCCTCAATATTAACATTTTAATTAAAGAACAAAGAATAAGATTTTCCAAATTTAGAAATTACACCCTATATAATAACTTATTATTTATTTTTTATTGAATTATGATATCATATAAGAAATAATATTTTAATATACTAAAAATATTATAATTTGATAAATAAACAATACAACTGAATACATATTATATATAAATTCAATTAATTGTTTGAAATTCAGTATAAAATATAAAATTATAATTAGTAAATATCATAATAAATATTTTTATTTTAAATAAATAAAAAAATATTAAATATAATAAAATAAATATTATTAATAAAAAATACAATAATAAAAATTAATATTTATTTTATCAAGCAAAAAAAAGAAATATTAAAGACTATGATTATAAAAGAAATTAAGAATTTTTTATAAAATAGACATAATTTATTTATATTAATATAATAAATATTATATAATATTCTTTTATTATTTTATTTATATATATATATATATATATATATATATTAT